TACCAGTAAAAGGAGAGTTATAACACTTGTTAAAGTTAAACGCCTTCTCACAAAGTGAATAGGAAAAATTGGAAAGGCGTGCGTTATACGAAGGATATAATGAAAAGAGATTTTTGCTCTAGGACCTTAAATCAAGTTATTATAGAGTAAGGACGAAGGAGTTAACCAATATCACCTGATAACTGCATCTTATCTAATCTGAGGCATATTGAATACCCCATTCATTTAATCAATTCATAATAAAGTAGTTTCCTTATCGCCGAGAGGTCGACAAAATCGGATAAGCGTAAAAACAAATCCAACACTGAACGTGATTGGCTAAAGATTTCGCTAATGAAAAAATTGAAATTGAAATTGCATTGAAAAATGCAAGTATTGTCGTTAAGGATTTGGTGAATATTCAAAACATTTCAACTGCACAATCATCGTGACTTTGATATAAATCATACAGTCCAACACAAGTAACTGGACAACTGAAATATCTAGAAAAGGGAAGACACTGAAAATTACGAGCAGACGTTGAAAACTTTGATCAACTGTATTGTGATCCTTCTAATTTAAAGCTGAGGCATTTGAAAATAATTCCCCTCTGGCTTCAGCAGTAGATTCAGCACAAACAAATGAAAATACAGTTAAATGATCCGTATAACGATACATTTACTAGTGCGGGTCGACGAAGTGCATGCATCCTCTATAATTTTGACATCTTGTGAAGGACATGTTAAAATACGAAATTATATTTAGAGTCAGCCTGTTTTCGACTGCATGCATGCATCGAGGTATTTCCGCAGGCGATAGTTGTGAGACTCCGCATAACTACTCTTTCAAGCCAAAATGACATTTAAAAGTAATTTTTAGTTCCAAGCAGAGTGTGTGTCACAAACTTTTATGAAATCTATCTTTTCATGGCTTCTTATATCGTTAGTTGGAACCACAACGCGTTCTCTCAATATCATTGACCGATAGGTGTGATAGTAGTATTTATTATTCAATTGCACAAAGTAGAGTACAATAATGCGCGAATAAAGTACAAATATCCTCCGATATTGTACGGCTATTTGGAAAGTTGGTTATTTGGATAGTTGGTTATTTTGTACTGTAAAAAGACCCTGTTTGACCAGTCGGCTGAGCGCGCTACGTTTCTCTATTCGCTTTGCTTTTCTCGCCTTATGAGAAATGAGCAAAGAGACTTGGCAGAAAAAAGCATTTGGAGAATGAATAACCTATTAGTATTTTGTATCACCCTGCGGGCTCGTTAAAATACGGCACAACTCGTAAAAATACTCAGCGAAACTACACACTTAAACGTCTAATAAGATATATTTATCCTGATATCACGGTTATAACTTGGAAGGTTCCATCTTTTTTAGAAAACAAACGTTGACGGGAATTCAAAAGATTTTATCACCTGAGTCGATTTTTGTAAAACCATCAATTATCGAAATCATCGCTGAGAATGAACGGAAACAATTATTACCAAACAATAGTGAAATCAGTCGATAAAAGCAAAAATAAAAGTTCAACTTATCTTTTTGTACCCCCCACTGACGCAGCAAAAGTCTTTAAAATGAACGAAGATTGCACAAATTCTCCATCTAAAATTTGGAACAAAATAGTATTGGGAAAAATTCTTGAAAATCGATGGTCTAAATGTTTAAATGACCTAGTTTCAAATAGAGGAACTACATCACATTCATAACAGTTTACATGCACCTTCTAAACCTTCCTTATCGTTGCATGAGGAAACTTCTAAACGCAACATGTAATTTCCTCTTTGTTTAAGGTCCTTTGAAATTCTGTAAATCTTTTTTGGCCAACTGACATCTTACTATCGTTATTAAAAGGAAAATGATAAGTGGTACGATTGTATGATATATCATTTTAAAAGTGTAGTAGGAGATACTTCGCGACATCAACTACAGTCACATAATCAAGCGTATTTGACAGTTTTTGCAGCAATGTACATGTATATCGTTCCAAAAGGAAATGAAATTACATTGTTTCCTAATAACGGCTTAAAACGTGTATTTATTTTACAAAGGACACCTTATCTGTTTTAAGAGGAAATAATTCATTTACGTTAAAGGGCAAACAATTGCGTCAAAATACAATAGAGACAAAAAACCATCAAAAATTTCAATCAGCATTCAATAACAATTGAAATTCTTAGGCGGTCAAACAAAACCAGAACACAAAACCTTTCAGTATTTACCATCTTGAAATTGAATAAGACAAAAGTAATATAGTGCAGAAACCATTCATTAACATTTTTATCACACTGTTTGCAATTCAATAGCATTCCTGACCAGCATTAGTATGAATAAGACAATCATTCAGCATGCGCTTGTACAAACAATTAAGCGTTTTTATTTTCAATATTCAAACATCGAATTCCAATTGAAAAATACCTATTCCAAAATTATCTTGTTTTGAATTTCAGTTTACCCTTCCACAATTTCTCTATTCAGACATTTTGGCAGATAGGTCTGCATAAAGCGGTACCATTGCGCACTTTTAGCCGCGGTCACAGTATCGATGTTTCTGTGCAGAGCTTCAAGCAGTAGTTGTGTTCGAAACTTCCCCAGTGGGATTCCTCTAGCTCTGGCCTCATCTCTGTTATCCATGCGTCTTTGAATTTCCGGACGTGAGATGTCAGCCTTGATCACCGCTTTCAGATAGCTTAGTGCCTGCTCCACGATGTTTAGGAAAAGACTGTAGAGAGGAAGCATTTTAAGCTCTGTGTTTGGGGCGGGAATGTCCGGGTTTCGGTGTGCCGGTGCTCCGTCATACAGACGTCACCTCCCCGTCGGGATCTAGATTTTTCCTCGCCTGTGCCAGGAAGTTATCGAAACGCGCAGCATTCATTCCGCCAAAAGCTGCAGAGGAAAACACAAGTCCATTGATTGGTTAAATTGCCATTGTCACAATCAAGTTTCGTCCTCGCTGGCCGCACACTTGACGGTACGCCCTCTCCCTGCCGCGCTCTAACGCGGCTTCTGGACATCCAGATGTTGTAGCTGCATCCGTCCACAAAAAACACAGTGGCGCATTACCGCATGGTTCATAGACCAGGTGGCGTAATCCACTCGCTTGTTCATCACATCAGGTCTGTTTCTGACCGCAAGGAGAGGCCTTGCAAGTTTCACTCGGAAAAGCATCCCGTCTAATGTCCTTGCCACGGTGCGGTCGTGGATCCGAGGTTTTAGTGGTAGCCATCTCTTCAGTTCACTGTTTATTCGACCAAGTGTGAGTAAACAGTTTCGTTTATGATTTCCTCTGAGCAATCTCTCATCTCTTCGTCCACGCGCATGTTATTTCTACCTTCTCGTGGTCTCTCCCTGCCCTCTCTGATGTAGCGCGCCACAATGCCTCTTGCCGTTGATCGGTTCACTCCGAGCGTGTCCGTGACCACAAGATAATCTTCCTTCTCGTCCTTAAATCCCCTCACGATTCTCTCTGTGTTCGAGTGATATTCGGTTTCTTCGTGGCATTTTGCCTGCGGTCAGAAAACCTTTACAACGCGAATGAAGGGGACGAAGTCGATGTTCAGTTGAAAATCACTACTTGCATATCGAATATAAAAAAACACTGAATTGTTTGTACAAGTGCATTAATGATTGTCTTATTCATACTAATGCCGTCCAGGAATGCTATTGAATTGCAAACAGTGTGATAAAAATGTTAATGAATGGTTTATGCACTATATTGTTTGCGTGTTGTCTCTATTGAATTTCAAGATGGTGTAAATGACTTGAATGTTAACGCAAATGAAAGTATATTTTTCTCTTTTGTTTGAAGAATGACGCACGAGAATGCCCAAAATTGTTATTGAATGCTGATTAAAATGCAAAACTCGTTATTGAATCTGATTTACGCGCAAATAATTGTTTATTGCCGTTGGTGAATGTATTTGAACGCAATTGTTCGCCTTTTCACGCAAATGAATGCGTATTCTCTCGTAATGAACAGCAAAAGGTGGAATAATCAGTTATGATGAGTAAGATTGATGACCGCATTTCCTGCTTGATGGTAGTGTTAATAGTCTCATTAAAGTGAATGAGACATAAAATTTCGTTTCACCTACAATATAAGTGAAGAGTTTCCTTAAATTATTTGGAGACCACGAACTATCTTCTCAGCCTTGAACACCACGTGACCCGCGTTAGGGCAAGACTGTAACCAACAAGCTAATCAATAATGTGAATGTCTGACTGCTGAGGATTTCGTTTTGGAAGCTATCAACTAATCAACTAACACGGCTTAGTTCCAACAAAACCAAACATTAGATTGTTGAACAGAGCAGGAAAATTAATTTGAAAACTAAAGGGTAAGCTTCGATCTTAAATGCGGTTTATCCATGATATTTAACCTTAACCTTGATATTTAGCCATATACAGTGAATAATTTGCAAGGATAAACTGACACAGCGACCAGATTAACAAACTCAAGAAAAATGCCACTTTGTTATTTTTGCAGTATACTTCACTGGCCATACCCAGTTTGAAATAGACAGCAGAGGTTAGACAGAAAATCAAGCAAATTGCATTGATCAAGAAAAGGAAATAAGGAAACAGTGGTTTACATCATCAAAGATGGCATCCAACGACAATTTCTCTCTAATGGCGATCGGATTTTTAATATTTTACGGCTTTATCTTCGTCATCTCACTTGTGGGTAACATATGGGTTTTGGTGACATGTTATCGGAACTTGAACCGAAATCGGTTTTCACCGATGTGGTACGTGGCAAATTTAGCATCTGCCGATCTCCTTTTCACTTTTCTCACTCCTTTCCACGCCATTAATTTTAGTTGGCGTTGGGTCGGCGGTGACGTAATTTGCAAACTTCACGCGTTTCTTTTCGACACGAGCTACAATACTTCAATCACAACCCTTGTGGTTATAGCTTACCTAAGACTCAAAGCTATCACAGATCCTTTCAATTCTAGAAGCCAAAACTTTTCCAACAAGGAATACATCAAACTCGTTTTAATCTGGTGTATGTGCTTGGTAATTTCCTCACCTACAGCAAGTATGAACAAGGTCGAAACCGATGAGGATGGAAAACTGATTTGCACCAACACCTCTTGGGGAAGCACTGGCAGGGAAATATACTACATCGTACACGCAATACTTTTCTACATAATTCCATTGGTCTATATGATTGTAACGCAACGAAAGATATTCCGCTCTCTTCGAGTGATTGCTATTCCAATGTGCAACTCGCATATCATCAACACAAATCAAAGACATAAGAAAGTTGCAAAGACACTTGCAGCTCTTTCTCTTGCCTTTTTTTCTTGTCAGTCTCCGTTTATGATTTTTAGACTGCTGATGTATTCTAACTTAGTGTCCCCGAGTCTAGTCTGGAGCGTGACTCAAATGATGATATGTCTGAATGTGGCACTCGATCCTTTATTATACGGCTATTACGGAGAAACTTTGAAGTCTAAGGTGCGACGATTCCTTCGATGCAATTAACAGAACGGGTTGAAGTCCGCCTCCATCCCTGTAAAATCATCTCAGGCTTCTCACAAGGTGTACGGGTAACACTTGCCACATTCTCATAAAACTGAACGAGGAGACAAAAGTTTCATTGGAAGAAAACCATTACAAGCGATTCGGCTTTGCTTTCAGGAAAATAAGTTTTTGGATAATGATCGAATGAGTGAGAAACGCCTTCTTGGAAAATTTCTCATTATCGACAGAATGGTGCAGCAAAAATTAGGGTTCAACTTAACAATTAAGTCATTGAGATCCCTTTTATTGAAAGTTTAGAGCAACAATCCATCACCAATCCAGAATACAGGTTCAACAATCTACCAATTTTTTGAAGCAGGTGAACAGAAAATAATAGAGTAGTGTCCCTATCGCCGAGAGGTTGACAAAATCGGATAAGCGTTAAAACAAATCCAACACTGAACGTGATTGGCTAAAGATTTTGCTCCAAGGTTTGCTCATTCATCATTTTTAAACTGATCTTTTGTAAAGGAGTACATGGCATGACGAAATCCTACAATGCTCAGTGATAAACAGAGCGATAAACATTTCAAAAAATGCTTCAACTATTCTATAAAGCTGTCCAATCTTAGAGATTAGAACTCGCCGAGGGCTTACAATGAAATCAACGGCTTTTTGAATAAGCTTACACACAATTACTTTCACAAAGTGCGGAAATAGCTTATAATTATGTTAGAAGAATGAATAGCGATTATGCTACTACATCATGCATATCTGTTGTTTCAGATTTGGCACCACTTATATAAATAAACGACTCTGGGGACTTTTTTGTTAAGCATTTTATGGTTTGCACAGAACCTGCAACTTATACGATAGAATCCTCTCTAATACACCAATTATCGAAAAAGATCACAGCAAGAAAGGAAACAATTATTACCAAACAATAGTGAAATATATTAGCAAAATGAAAGCGCCAAGGTACCACCGCGGAAAAAGTCTAGAATAAACGGGATTGAGCCTATCTAAAACGGGGTAAACTGGCTTTTGTAAAGTTAAAATAAACAAAAAATACACGACCTGACTCAAAATAGGAGCCTTCCTGATCGTTGCACGAGGAAATTTCTAAGCGCAACGCGTAATTCCCTCTCTGTTTAAGGGTTTTGAAATTCTTTAATCTTTTTTGGCCAACTGACATCTCACTATCGTTGTCAAAAGGAAAATGATAAGTGGTACGATTGTATGATATATCATTTTAATAATATACGAAGATGAAAAAAGCAAAAATTCAACACGAAAGTATACAAGGGGGAACCAGAACACAAAACCTTTCAGTAATAACTCGGGAAGAAAGTGTAGTAGAAGATATTTCGCGACATCAACTACAGTCACATAATCAAGCGTATTTAGTGGCCAGTTTTTGCAGCAATGTACATGTATACGCGCTCCTGTGCTTCAGTGAAATTACATTGTTTCCTAATTACGGCTTAAAACGTGTATTTATTTTACAAAGGACACCTTTTACTGTTCCTTACGAGGAAATACGCATTCATTTGCGTTAAGGGGCAAACAATTGCGTCAAAATACAATCATTTGAGACAAAAAACCACCATTTGCAGGGAAATCAGATTCATTATTGCATTTTAATCAGTATTCAATAACAATTCTAGGCATTCTTAGACGTCATTCGTCAAACAAAAGAGAAAAATATACTTTCATTTGCGCTAACATTCAAGTCATTTACACCATCTTGAAATTGAATAGAGACAATACATAATTAATATAGTGCAGAAACCATTCATTAACATTTTTATCACACTGTTTGCAATTCAATAGCATTCCTGAACAGCATTAGTATGAATAAGACAATCATTCAGTATGCGCTTGTACAAACAATTAAGCGTTTTTATTTTCAATATTCAAACATCGAATTCCAATTGAAAAATACCTATTCCAAAATTATCTTGTTTTGAATTTCAGTTTACCCTTCAATAATCTCTCTATTTAAACATTATGGCAGATAGGTCTGCATAGAGTGGTACCATTGCGCACGTTTAGCCGCTGTCACAGTGTCGATGTTTCTGTGCAGAGCTTCAAGCAATTGTTGTGTTCGAAACTCCCCCAGTGGCATTCCTCTAGCTCTGGCCTCATCTCTGTTATCCATGCGTCTTTGAATTTCCGGAGACGAGATGTCAGCCTTGATTGCCGCTTTCAGACAGCTTAGTGCTTGCTCCACGATGTTTAGGAAAGGACTGTAGAGAGGAAGCATTTTAAGCTCTGTGTTTGGGGCGGGAATGACCGGGTTTCGGTGTGCCGGTGCTCCGTCATACACAAAGATCACCTCCCCGTCGGGATCTAGAGTTTCCCACGCCTGTGCCAGGAAATTATCGAAAAGCGCTGCATTCATTCCCCCAAAAGCTGCTGAGGAAAACACATGTCCATTGATTGGCGAAACTGCCATTGTCACAGTCAAGTTTCGACCTCGCTGGCCGCACACTTGACGGTACGCCCTCTCTCCCTGCCGCGCTCTACCGTGGCTTCTGGCCGTCCAGACGTTATGGCCGCATCCGTCGACAAACACACAGTGGCGCACTACGGCATGGTTCATAAACCAGGTGGCGTAATCCACTCGCTTGTTCATCACATCAGGTCTGTTTCTGACCGCAAGGAGAGGCCTTGCAAGTTTCACTCGGAAAAGCATCCCGTCTAATGTCCTTGCCACGGTGCGGTCATGGATCTGAGGTTTTAGGGGTAGCCATCTCCTCAGTTCACCGTTTATCCGAGCAAGTGTGAGTAAACAGTTTTCGTTTATGATTTCCTCTAGGCAATCTCTCATCTCTTCGTCCACGCGCACGTTGTTCCTACCTCCTCGTGGTCTTTCCCTGCCCTCTCTGATGTAGCGCGTCACAATGTCTCTTACCGTTGATCAGTTCACTCCGAGCGTATGCGCGACCACAAGATAATCTCCCTCCTCATCCTCAAATCCTCTCACGATTCTCTCTCTGTGTTCGAGTGATATTCGGTTTCTTCGTGGCATTTGCCTGCGGTCAGAAAAACCTTTACAAAGCGAATGAAGGGGACGAAATTTACTGAATACAAGTAACTCCTACGCTGTTAAAGGCCATCAGGCAATGTATACACCTGTATTTATTTAATATACAACGTATATTAATAATCACGTATTGATCACGGAGAAAAGTCGCTGCATCATATTTAAAAGAGCAAACTCAACGACTTCCACAACTCTTCGCCATTTTCGCAGCCTTTGGAGATCATACGAACTGCGCTGAGCAAAGGGATCAATAATAAGATAAAAAATAATGTGAACGTTTGACTACTGAGGATTTCCTTTGGGAAGCTATTAAATAACAGTTCAGGGGAAACCGTTAATTTGTTAAACGGAAGAGGAAAACCAATTAATATGTGAAGCTCCAAAGTAAGGTTACATCTTGACCGCTGTTTTTCCAAAATAAATGTCAATTATGATGCTATTAAATATTAGTTACTGCTTATTAATGGAACTACTGTTGTGTTAACTCAGGATCTTCAGTTCACATGTACACGTACTACCGGCCAAACTATGCGATGAAATGAATGTACATTTTCTGCTAATGGACCGCAAAACGTTCATTATCTCCTCAAGGTACTTGTAATTTTTTTCCTTCTCTCTTCCTCGGGCCTTATTAAGGTTGAAACTGTTTTTAATCGACGCACCTTTCTTTGTTTGCGTTAAAAATATGTTTTCAAATAACGATCGCATAAATGTGAAACACCTCCTTAGAAAATTTCTTATGAACAGAATGGTGCAGCAAAAACTAGGGTTCAACGTAACGATTAAGTCATTGAGATCCCTTTAATTAAAAGCTTAGAGCAACAAACCATCACCAATCCACAATAAAGGTTTAACAATCTACCAATTTTTGAAGCAGGTGAACAGAAAATATGGTGAGGGAAAACTTTGCTTTGGCCCGCGAACTTTTTATAGTTGTGATTCTCTCCGATAATGACACTTATTCCTTTAAGTTCTCATGTTGCATTGTAGCAACAATGCAACAAATGTGTTTGGAAGCATTCTGTTGTATTATAATGACTTTCGGATAAAATCGTAATGTATATTCATATAAAGATACAAATATACACACTTGTACATTGCCGCTTCACTTTTGGAGAAGAATATTGCATATGTATTAGCAAGTGAATGTTCAGTTTAGAAAGGTGGATTGTATGTCTGCAATTGAGTGTCATTATCGAAAAGGTGTATTGTACGTATATCTGCAAAAGCCCTGGAAAAAAGGTGGTAAATAGTTCACATTTCATAATTGCTATCGCGAATCATTTTGATATCTTACAGCTTGAAAAAGGCGATGCCCATTTTCTATGGAGGGGCGGAAACACGAAGGTTATTAGGTATGGACAACCCTACGAATGAAGGTTTACTTCGTACAAAAGATTGATAGATCAGTGTAGAACAAAGGGAAAGATGTAATAATACGTCTGCAACAAAAGAGTGTAGCCAGTTATGAAACTAATTTAATAAATAAACATTTACTCGCATTTGCATTTGCACTTGAGTGTCTTTGGAAATTTAATTTAATGAATATTTCAGGTATTGGTTCTTATGAAAGAAATTACGACGGGAAACCTTCGGGCGTAGTTGTCGTTTGTCCGGATTGCTTATGATCAAATGGAAGAAACATGGGATTAACGGTACCTACGCTCACGGATTTTCATTTGGAGATATAAAGTGCGGTAAATACCAACTATATTTTTTTTGAAACAAATATCATTGGAGGTAAACCTTCGAGTGTAGTTATTTGTTGCTTCAACTATCGTTTACGATCAAATGGAAGAAAAAAGAAAAATTGTCAAATAGATTAACGGCAGCTATACTGAAGGATTTTCGTTTTAAAAATATGGAGTGCAGTGCATCAGCTCATATTTGTGACCGCAGAGGAGGTATTGTCGAAGCCAATTCTTTTCTGGCTAAAAAAAAAAGAAACTGTTTCACTCATTGACTCTACGTGTGTTTGTTTTTGTCGAATGACAGTGCTTCCAGTTTTTAATTTAACTCATTTTGATTGGTTGCCTGCTCATTTCCGGAAATGTAGTGACGCGCAACTACTGGCCCACTTTCTTATTGCCTTAACGCTTTTATCCTCAAGATGCAACTTCTCGTGTCAGATCTCCATTCTGAACGAATTTCATATCGAGAGCGAAGCACGTTGGCTTTTCTATATTCCAATCCTTAATTTGACCTTCATTCAAGCATCTTCCTTCGTAACTGTCCACGATAATTGATCCACAGACTGTTTCGCTTTTCATATGTGACGACGGGTTACAGTACGTTAAACTTTAGCGGAATTATTACTTAAAAACGCCACGTTATAAGCCACCCCCTGCAAACGCTCTTCAAAATTATTAGGTGAACAGTTAGAACTGAACCGCATGGACCTTAGTTCACACAGAAGTTATAGCAGTCTTTGCAATGCTTTTACTTTCAAAAAAAGTAATTAAAGGAAAGTTGTAAAAAATTATTTATGCATCGATGAATATTCAGGCGTAAAACGCTTATGGAAGTTGATTTTCATTCCTTTTTCGGTGACAAGAACATGACAGGTGCATCATTCTATTTATGTTTAAGTATCTAGCAGCCAAGATATGTAAATATAAAGAATTGGCACCAAACAAATTTTTAATTTTCCTAAAGAGTTGATGTCAAATTTTCATTGTTATCTGACAGATTTTATTTTGCTTTTTTCAGTTAGAACTGAACCGCATGGGCCGTAGTTGACATAGAAGCTAAAACAGTCTTTGTAATGCTTTACTTTCGAAAAAAGTAATTAAAGGAAAGTTGTTAATAATTATTTATGCATCGATGAATACTCGGGCGTAAAACACTAATTAATAATTGGTTTATAAGTCAGCGTGCGTTCACCGAGATATGAAGCACGCGGGAAGTTTGGAGAGCACGAAAGATGCGTAAGAGTTGCTCGAGGCGTAGCCGAGAGCAACTCTTGCTTCTTGATTGTTAAAAAAACCGCGGAGAAATTTTTTTTTTCTCGAGGGATTTGTTTGCTGACGTCATGAGTGTGCATAATAGGAATATGAAGCACGCTCACGCAGTTGAATTTGATTAGACAAATTTACCAACTAGGTAATAATGAGGGTTGATTTTTATTCCTTTTTCGGTAACAAGAAAATGACAGGTGCATCGTTCTATTCATAGTTAAGTATCTAGAAAACCAAAACAGTCTTGGCATAACACCATTGCACTTTGATTAATTATTTGAAGACCACAAAATATCGTTATCTTCTCAGCCTTAAACACCGCATGACCCGCGCTGGGGCAAGACGGTAACTAACAAGCTAATCAATAATGTGAATGTTTGACTGCGGGGGATTTAGTTTCGGAAGCTTTAAACTAACACGGCTTATTTCAAACAGAAACAAACGTTAGATTGTTGAACAGAGCAGGAAAATTAATTCATTTGAGAAACTAGAGGGTAAGCTTCGATCTTAATTGCGGTTTATCCATGATATTTAACCTTTACCTCGATATTTAGCCATACATAGTGAATAATTTACAAGGATAAACTGATACAACGACCACAGATCAGCAAACTCAAGAAAAATGCCACTTTGTTATTTTTGCAGTATACTTCACTGGCCATACCCAGTTTCAAATAGACAGCAGAGGTTAGACAGAAAATCAAGCAAATTACATTGATCAAGAAAAGGAAATAAGAAAACAGTGGTTTACATCATCAAAGATGGCATCCAACGACAATTTCTCTCTAATGGTGATCGGATTTTTAATATTTTACGGCTTTATCTTCGTCATCTCACTTGTGGGTAACATATGGGTTTTGGTGACATGTTATCGGAACTTGAACCGAAATCGGTTTTCTCCGATGTGGTACGTGGCAAATTTAGCATCTGCCGATCTCCTTTTCACTTTTCTCACTCCTTTCCACGCCATTAATTTCAGTTGGCGTTGGGTCGGCGGTGATGTAATTTGCAAACTTCACGCATTTCTTTTCGACACGAGCTACAATACTTCAATCACAACCCTTGTGGTTATAGCTTACCTAAGACTCAAAGCTATCACAGATCCTTTCAATTCTAGAAGCCAAAACTTTTCCAACAAGGAATACATCAAACTCGTTTTAATCTGGTGTATGTGCTTGGTAATTTCCTCACCTACAGCAAGTATGAACAAGGTCGAAACCGATGAGGATGGAAAACTGATTTGCACCAACACCTCTTGGGGAAGCACTGGCAGGGAAATATACTACACCGTACACGCGATACTTTTCTTCATAATTCCATTGATCTATATGATTGCAACGCAACGAAAGATATTCCTCTCTCTTCGAGCGATTGCTATTCCAAAGTGCAACTCGCACATCATCAACTCAAATCAAAGACATAAGAAAGTTGCAAAGACACTTGCAGCCCTTTCTCTTGCCTTTTTTTCTTGTCAGTCTCCGTTTATGATTCTTAGACTGCTGATTTATTCTAACTTAGTGTCCCCGAGTCTAGTCTGGAGCGTGACTCAACTAATGATATTTCTGAACGTGGCACTCGATCCTTTATTATACGGCTATTACGGAGAAAATTTGAAGTCTAAGGTACGACGATTCCTTCGATGTAATTAACAAAACGGGTTGAAGTCCGCCTTCATCCCTGTAAAATCATCTCAGGCTTCTCACGAGGTGTACGGGTAACACCTGCCACATTCTCGTAAAACTAACCGAGGAGACACAAGTTACAGCGGAAGAAAACCTTTACCATCGACTCGGCTTTGCTTTCAGCAAAAATGTAACAAATGTGTCTGTTCACGCATCTTATTACATGATAACAATTTTAGATAAAATTGTAATGTATTTTCATATGTAGATACAAATGTACATACTTCTACATTGCCGCTTCAATTTTGGACACAAATCTTGCAGATATATTTGCAAGTGAATGTGACTTTGGAAAGGTGGATTGTACATGTCTGATTTGAGTATCATTTTTGAAAAGGTGTATTGTACGTATATCTACAAAACCCCTGGAAAAAGTATATCGAGCTTATATGTTAGCAATTAACTGTGTAATCTAAAAAATAAAATGAGGAATTTAGAAGGGTCTAAATTGTACCTTTCAGGCTGGCAGTTCGTATTTCATAATTGTTATCGCGAACTATTCTGATGTCGCAAAGCTCAGAAAAGGCGATAGCCATTTTCCACGGGAGCACGGGAACACGAGGGTAATTTGGTATGGACAAACCTGCAAATGAAAGTTTACTTCGAATATAAGATTAATAGACCGGTGTACAACAAAGGGACGGGTGTAATAAAACCACTGCAAAAAAAGTAAGGATTCAGCTTTGAAATTAATTTCAAAAAATTAAACGTTCATTCGCATTTTATGAAAATCGGCTAGCAAAGGATCCACGAAAAGATATTTTGTCCATTAAAAAATGTTGACAAGTTTAAGTACCCTACAGGAGTGATGGAGTATTTTCAAAATTTATGGCAATTTAAATGCACCTGATCTTTTCCCACGTTCTCTGAGTCTCTAGTTTTTAAATCTCGAATTCTGACGCCACTGACAAAAGTCAGCGCAGTACGTGTGGCACTTGAAAGTTCTGTGTGGAGGGGATGTTTATGGTCTCATCAATATGATTGAGGCGATCAAGCTTAATTATTTTTAAATGCAAGTAAGAGAACTTCCTTAATTCATTAGGAAACTTTGATAACTTCTAGCTTTCTCTTAAGCCCCTAAAAGCCACACACACCGTGGTAGCCACGTTCCGACAAAATCGAACATCAAATTGCTGAGCGGAAAAGGAAAATGGAAAGGGAAGTAAGGTTTCATCTTTATCACAGTTTATCCATGATAGTTAAACAAAGTTATTAACATGATTAGTGATTACATAATTTGGATTATAACTTTTTTGGAATCATGCGGCAGATTATAAAAAACGAGAGCATTTCAAGGATAAAGTCTTGAAGAACCACCTCAAGGAAACTAGCGAACGTAAGAAAACTTTTATTGTATTGCTTCTGCAGTACATTTGATCAACAAAGCCTGTTAGAAAGAGACAGCAGATGTTTCACAGAAACTCACTCAAATTAGATTGACTAGGACAAGTAACTAAAAGAAAGCGATTCGCATCCAACGACAATTTCTCTGCACGACTGATCATCTCGTTATTTTACGTCGTCACCTTGTTATTTTACCTCGGCTTTCATCATCTCAGTTGTGGGTAACACGCTAGTTTTGGTGACATGTTATCGTAACTTAAAAGTAAATCGGTTTTCTCTGATGTGGTACTTGGCCAACTTGGCATCTGCGGATCTTCGATTTACTTTCCTCACTCCTTTCAACGCCAATAATTTTAGTTGGCGTTGAGTCAACTGTGACAAAAAGTGCAAACGTTTTGGATTTACCATCGAAACGAGCTGCAGGAAACTGAATGAGGAAAAAAATGTATATCAGAAGAAAGTCATAACCGCCGATTCGGCTTTGCTTTTAGGAAAATAAACATTTTATAATTATGATCGTTTCAGTAAGAAACGGGTGCGTGGAATTCGTTTCTGATTATGAACAGAAAGGTGCAGAAAAAATTATGGTTCAATGGCGTTATTGAAATCTCTTTTCTTTAAAGTTAAGTGTGAAGGTTAAGCAACCCCTTTCAATTCTTAAAGGCCATCGGGCAACGTATACGTACACCTGTATTTAATCAATAGTTCATTGTTCTCCTCAGGAGGCTCTTACCGTATATTAATAATCACGTATTGATCACGGAAAAAAGTCGCTGCATCATATTTAAAGGAGCAAACTCAACGACTTTAAGAACTCTTCGCCATTTTCGCAGCCTATAGAGATCACACGAACTTCGCTGAGCAAAGGGATAAATAACGAGATAAAAAATGTGAAATTTTGACTACTGAGAATTTCCTTTCGGAAGCTATTAAATAACGGTTCGAACGAAACCGAACGTTAATCTGTTGAACAAAACAGGATGTCAATTACGATGCTATTAAATGTTACTTACTGCTTATTACTGGAACTACAGTTGTGTTAACTGTTCACATGATAATATTTTCGTACTACCGGCCAAACTATGCGCTGAAATGAATGTATAATTTCTGTTAATGGACCTCAAAGGTTCATTATCTCCTTAAGGATTTTTTTTTAACCTAGGCCCCTTTCCTTGTTTGCGTTAATAACATTTATTCCGTCTTAATGTCTTTTTTTTTTCAAATTTTTATCTCCTCTCTACATTCTACATCCCAGTTCAGTTCCCCTGTCACTAATGTCAAAACAAATTTTGCTTCCAAAGCTGACAGGGCGAACGCCTGCTAGGAAGTGTGTGGGCAAATTTGTTGTTTTCTTTTCATTGACTCTTCCTCCTTCGTAATTCCATCTCTACCCCTTTCCTACCCGAGGGAAATGCCAAATTTTTCTAAAATAAGAATGATGAACCACTAGACCATGTCTAGTCTAGAGTGAAAAATAAAAAAAGGTAGAAATGTTTTGTTTGCCTTGTACATATAGGGTATACCACTACACTATAGCTTAAATTGCAGCTCTCAGAGCATTGATTGTGGTGAGACATCACCTGAACCAAAACAGTACAAAGACAAAAAGTTTCAAAAGTTGCAGGGGTGGTAAACCAAGTATTATATTGGAGGGGGCCATGATTTTATGCCTTCAGTGTGCAAATCTTTCAATGACCTTTTGATTGTGAAAAAGTTCAGAAAAAATGAACAAATAGTAAGCAAGTAATGGCATCCTGTGCCACATGGCACTCTCAGGCTGGAAAGGGCTACTACTGCACCATTGGCTTTCATCTGAGACACGAAAGACTTCGGGAAAGGTGGCAGATAAAAATAAATGGAAATCTTCTTATTTTTTAAGGTCGCACATGAATTAAACTTTGCTCTCACAAAGCACTACTTTACTCACAGACATCATTACACAATAGTTCAACCCCTTCGTTTCAAACCAGAGGCGTCAGCAGGGCACTCTGTTTCGCGCGGTGACATGTTCAAAGGGGATCTCCTTTCCTTCGGGTTCAACTAGTCCCAAGAGTCCTTCAGGTCACATTCTATCATATTAGAAGTAATATTGTCTAGCACATATGCACAAAAAAAGAGAGGATTGCTCACAAACCGAATAGGCTTCAATGAGAAAAACTGTTCGTACAACGATCTGCACTTACTATCGTGGAAATCACTGGCGAAATAACGCTGTCAAAGCAAAACGTTTGTTTTGCTTACGTTCATCGTGCCCGTTGTGCGGTCATTTTTCCGGTTTGAACAAGCTGAAGCTATTGGGCTGTTGCCGTATGGGTGGGAAAGGGGTAGGGAGTCAAATAGAAGTGACTTGCCTGTCCCAAAGGATCCTATTTTGCATTTTAGAGAGGTGGCCGTCGCCAGAAATTCCGCAAGGTAAATAATTATTAAAATAATAAGAAGAAGAAGAGGAAAAAAGTTCGAATCACCGGCTTGAAACCACGAAACACTCCAACTTCGAGCCGTGAGCCACCAAACAACAACCAGCAACTACGATCCACAAACTAAACACAAACGAGGGCTACCTGAACTACGAACTATGGATTAAAGACTACGGAATCAAGCTAGAGTCTTCTTATGACTGCCAGTGGACTACGAACTTTGAACAACAGACAGTTGGCAGGCAGTTGCTTGCTTGTAAAGTGCTAAGTTCTTGACTGATGGAAAGAAATAATCACTTGTCGTTACTATTATCTTCATCATCACCATCATTATTATTTTCATTATCATTATTATTTCCAATACCACTACTCTATTGAAAACGCGCAGCTGATAACCAAACAATTATCCAGAAGTGTCAACAACCACAGACACGTCCGAAACGAGGTTTAATTTAAACAAAAGATTCATACATTAGAGTACAACAAAGGCCGGTCAGAACTGAAATTTGACAATTTTTCAAATAATTTCAATTCAGTTTTGACAATTGCTTTCAAACTATTTCTATGTAAAACTTAAAACGTTTGCAACAAAAAGTATGGATTCAGATTTGAAATTAGTTTTTATATAGCCGCCATTTGTGAAAACAGGCTTGGAAAAGTTCCATTAAAAAATAAATAGTCTATTGTAAAATGTTGTCGAGTTCAAGTCGAAAATTTAAATGATGGAAGTGTTTCAAACATTATGGCAATTTACATACACCTGCTCTTTTTCCAATGTTCAGCAGTCTCCAGGTATCAAACCTCGAATTTTGAGGCTCTTTCATCGTGAACATCACGGTTTACAGAGAACCTGTGAGTCTTCCTAATAAGATCAAATAACTGGGTCTTTTTGATGGATATTAGCATACGTCATTTGTTCACAAAATTTTAGAGAACAAAAAGGCATGCCATTTCTAAAATATCGTTGATTCTCGAAAAAGATCGAAGAAAAAAGAAAAGATTGTAGCACAAGAAAATATTGGCGATGCACAACAGCCGACAAAGTCGAGAGAAGAACAGAGACAGAGACTATCCAAACACAGAACACACTGACGTTAATGGGTGTAACTTTGTAAACTTGGAATAAACTGAAAATCTAAATAACGTCTCTAGAAATAGAGGCCTTCTTTCCTTGCATGTTTAAAAGCTTTAGGAAACTTGTAAATGCCACTTGAAATTTCCCCCTGGCAATTCTGCAGTTCCGATTCGATTAATTGAAAGCCTACGATTGTTGTCCGAATAGAAATGTTAATAGGGAGGACTGTGATGAATAATTTTAATAGTAAAGTAAGAGGAGGAAGCAGTAGAAGCACACACGAAATTATATAAAGGCCTTATTCATGAAGATAGAAGATAGATTAAAGCAGAAACAGAATTTTGCGCTACCTACAGCATCCGCGTCATCTCGGGTAATCACTAAGCACTTCGTGGCTTTCAGTCAATGTATACATACACCTGTACTTTATCAATAATGCATTGTGCTTACTCTAAGGCTTTTACCGTATATTTGTTACAAAGGAATAATCACGGAGATTAATCTCAGCAATTCGTGTCATACTGGAAAGTTCTGTTTGCCGGGCGGCAAACCCAACTCGTTAAGAAGCTTCAAGAACTTCTCGCTTTCTTTTCAGCCTCTGAAAACCATATACTCCATGCTGGGAAATAAGGTAAATAACGGAAATTATTCTACCGTTTGACTACTGAGTTTTTCATTAAGTCATTAAGTAACAGCTTACACTGCAGTTTCGACAAAATCGAACGTGAAATTGCTGAACGAAACAGGAGAATGAATGTGTGAAACAAGTAAGCTTAAATCTTAACCACTGCTTATCCATGATATTTAGCCACACTTATTTACATAATTAGTGATTTTGTGATTTGAATGGACTCTTGTTTTGATTCTTGCGGTAGATAAGAAAAAAACAAAAATGAAAAAAAAACAAAACAAAAAAAAAAAAGAGAACTTAAGCTGGATGAAGTCCTTAAAGCCCTTATCGAGCAAACAAGCGAACTTAAAAATATTGTAATTTTATTATTTCTGCAGTACACCTAACCGACAAGAAACAGGATAGGTTCCACAGAAAATCTTTCAAATTAGATTAATTGAGGCAAGGAAGAAAAAAGTGATTAACATCACTAGAGATGACATACAACGACAATTTCTCTCCGCTACTAATCTTCTTTTTGTTATTTTATGGCACCGTTTTCATTGTCTCACTTGTGGGTAACATATGGGTTTTGGTGACATGTTATCGGAACTTAAAAAGAAATCAGTTTCCTTTGATGTGGTACGTGGCCAACTTAGCATCTTCGGATCTTCTATTTACTTGTCTAACTCCTTTCAACGCCATTAGTGTTATGTGGCGATGGGTCGGCGGCAACGCAACATGCAAACTTCAAGGATTTCTCATCGAAACGAGTTATAGTGCTTCAATCACAACCCTTGTAGTTATAAGTTACCTTAGACTCAAAGCTGTAACAGACCCCTTCAATTCTAGGAGTGGAAGATTCTCGAATAGAGAATATATGAAACTAGGTACCATCTGGTGTATTTGCGTGGTCATCTGCTTACCAATAGCACATATTTACAGAGTCGAACCCAACGAGGATGGCGAACTTGTGTGTGCCAACACAACATGGGGGAGCACTGGAAGGCAAATATACTACACTGTGCATGCAATAGTTTTCTTCGTTATTCCATTGACATATATGATTATTACGCAACGAAAAATTTCTCGTTCTCTTCGAGCGAACATTGTTCCAATGCGCAACTCGCATATCATGAAATCAAACCAAAGACAAAAGAGAGTTGCTAAGACACTTGCAGCTCTATCTCTTGTTTTTGTTATGTGTTGGTCTTCATTTATGATTCTCAGAACGCTGATGTACTTTAACCTAGCTTCCCACGGTCTGGGTTGGAGAGCGGCTCAACTTATGGTATTTCTCAATACGGCGCTCGATCCTTTATTATACGGCTATTATAGGGGAAATTTAAAGTCTAAAGTGCGCAGCATTCTGCGATGCAATTACCAGAACAGGTTGAACCGCGCCGATTCCATCACTTTGACAGCGTCTCACCCAGGCCACTCGCTAGGTATTCGAGAGGCACATGCCACAGCCTCGAAAGACTGAACATGAAACAAAAATTACCTTTAAGTTAAAGAAAATCGTTATCATCGATAAGACTTAACTTTTTAAAAGAATACATTTAATGAAATACTTACCTATATGTGTACCTGCATTTAAAGTAATTGAAATTGAAAATGGTTTAAAATGAAAAGTGGAAAAAATTCAAACAAATTAGAACGAATGGCAAATTTATGTCTTTAATCGATGTCTTTGTAAAGGGAGAAGTAAAATGAAACAGACCGGTATTTGCGTTTTTGAAAAAAGAGTTAATGATAAATGTTTGTATTAATCACTAAATTCCCTTAACCTTATGTGACCACGGCGGCAAGGATTAACCCCTTCATAGCATGTATTATATCAAACAGAAGGTAAAAAAAAGTTTTCAGGCTGTTTTCAGCATTTAAAAACGAACAACGGACATAAGAGCAGAAGTGTGTGTGCGTGCGTGCGTGCGTGAGTGTGTGTGGGGGGAGGGGAGGGGGGGAAGGGGGGTTTTCATACAATGTAAGATTAAATTGAAAAAAGAAAATCATCATCTAGCCTTTGGGGTAAAAATATACCAGTGTACTAATGGGTATTTGGTATAATTTTATGAAATAAATTCAATAGGATCTTAGATTTTCGCGGAAGGCACTTTTTAACTGCCATGTGTACTCGATGAATATGTTGTGGAAAAAGCAAGCGAGAAAGACAGGATGAGTTTCCACAGTTTCCCCTCTGAAAATTAGTGAACCGATTCAAGTTTAGCGAGTCTCAGCAGGTGAACACGTCAAACTCCATGAAAAAGGATAATCGTTCATACGTTATTCAGGTTCAGATGAAATGATAAAGTACATTTTGATACAAATCACGGTTTGGCATCAGCAAAGATAACAACTAGAGGCATAAACTTATCCACGACAAAATTTTCGGTCTTACAAGGTACTTGCGGCTTGAACTTCGTCAGAGAAAAAATACAATCGTGCATATTGACATGCGTGACTAATAGTATTTCGGAAACTTAAACTCTCCTTTTAACAATTTGCCGCAGTTTTCGAGTTTTAATCAATTTTTGAATCGAAGTTTCGACCACACTCAATACTTTCCCACCATTAGCCCAGATGAAAGCGATTTTGTAATCAATTTTCACTGTTCTTTTCTTCAGCATAAAATCTGTGTTTTACATCAATCACCATGTTCAGTTACCGTGTCTCAATTTTCAAAAGAATTTTTACTTCCTCGGTTACCAGGGCGAACTCCTGCGAGGATGGTCGCGATATCTTGCCAAATCTGTCTATGACTCTCTCTCTTTCGCAATCCCCTCTAACCTTGCGCACTCATCGACTTTCAGGGGGTTGGGGGGCGGGGGGGAAAGACAAACAAGAATAACTGACCTTTCCCTTAAGAGAAAGATAGAGGGCGTTCAAAAGAGGCGGCCGTTGCTGGAAATTCTGCCAGAAAAGTAAAACTACGAGTTTGTGAACTACAAACCATGGAACATTGCCCACGCGCCGCGAACAGCCGGCAACCACGAATCACGAACCACAGACTATGGACCACAAATCTCGGACAATCTATACCTGACACTACGGACTAAGAGATATCGGACTTCAAGTTGCGGTCTTCTGACCACAGACCATATACTTCGGGACATGGAACACAGACTACAAACCTCGGACTCCGAACTACGATTGTGAATGAGCCCTTGTAGTCGATCTAAAAGGACACACGAAAATGTACGTGATTACTTGTATGTGAACTTTTCTTCCCTCTCACAAAGCTCTTTCCTGAGTCTGTTTCACGACATACTTCAATGACAAACAGTAAACGATAATACAATACTGAGGTGCAATCTAGCATCAGCAAGACATTGACTAAATAGTGTTTCATAAACGACCCAATATTATTCTGCCCCTGATTCAACTCGTTTATTTTTAATTTTTTACCCATTGACTTTATGTTTTGACATAAAACTTTGTAACTTTAAAATTGTATATGGAAAGGACCTCACAAACAGAGAGATTTTAGGTTTCATTTCTCACTCCTTAAATAAATTAATCATATATTATTCGTTAATACCCACTGGTGATTCAATATTTTAACTCCAGTGCTCACAATAATGCATTTGACGAAATCTGAAAGGTCGTGCATATTAAACTTTTTTTTCTGCGTATCTGCATAAGCTGTTAAATTAATCCATTAACCACAAGCACTCGCAGAGGCTTTTGGAATGACATAAAAGCCAAAGGTCAGAGGTGGAAGATTGAGGGGTTCGTCTCCCGGCACACTTTTCGGCGCGAGGTCTGGGAGCGTGCGGTCATCCACTAGTTTGAGAACTTTACCGTTAAGTCTGACGGTCCTGTTTCAAAAGTAAGCATCGTTGTATTTGTTTGTTTGTTTGTTTTCTTTTAGTCTTAACAGGAAAATAATCAGAAATGTTCTTTTTGTTGTTGTCTTTTTTACGATAAAAAGAGAACCGACTCAAAAATAAAATACTTTCAGGGACGGAGACGTTACATTGATATACTGGTCTGAATCAGTCGAAGCATTTGAGAGAAAGTTCTCAAACAGCAGCACTTGTATTTAAGGGGAGAAAGATGTCAATTGATCTTTTATCAATTAAATGGCATGATTCGAAATTCCAACTCTTTGTTGGGCCATGTATCGTGTTTTGTTCATGGACATGGCGGGAAGGTGGTCGAACAACAAGGCATCGAGCGAGGAGCAAAGAAGAAATCTTAATCTCCTTCGAGAAATCCAGCCTGAGGCTTGCAGATTCCGTGCTCCGATACTCTACCACCGTGCCACAGAGAACTCAGTGGTGAGATATTGTCACTACTGAGTTCATCTAGTGTGTGTCACGTGTTCTGCATACTGCTTTGCTTTACAGCAGCATATGACACCTGACTATAACTTGAACATCAACTGGTGTGTTGACGTCTGTCTCTCATAAGGTACCATTTCATATCGCATTTCAAAGCACAGGTGAGTAACTAAATAACTTTCTTATCAACCATTTCATTAATTTATGCCATGGATGAGAGGACTGAGTTTCTGCAAGTTAATTCTAACATGATTTTACTTACTTTGTCAATAGGTCGCCGTTCTCAGGAGTAAGAAGATATACGTCGACATCTTTTCCTTTAAGTTCACCGTTGAGTTTCAGGACGACTGGCGTATCCAAGAGGACATTGAGAGCAAGAAGCGTGACAGAACCCAATGGATACTGACTGCGCAAAAAGAAAATTCACAAACTTAGTCACCAAGCCAAGCAAAATAAATTAACAACAGTATACATATAAGGCTGAATTACGCACGCATTTTTCTATTTGTGATTTCCTGGAGGACAGACACATAGATGCAAGAATCTCCTCCGCAGCGAGGTCACCATGGTAACCAAGCCACAGCCTTGCTCCAGGCACCTTTTGACACAACACTGAATGTTGTATGGATGTAGGGAATAAAAGCAAACCCAAAATTAGCGAGGGTGGAGAAATAAAGCAAGCAAAGGACCAAAGCTAGCCATGAAAAAGCACATAGCATTGCCCTACAAACCCATCGTGGACTTCGTGCATCCCATCAGTGAAATCGCTACATTGGCTTGGTTTTATTTTCAATTGAGTGTGTGGCTGGTTTCAAAAAAGTCGCACCCCAATCTCAAGCAATCAGATTCATGCTAAAAAAATCGTATTTTGTGGCTTGCTTTTCCTATAGTATGCGTGTTCTAATTTTAGTTCTCATTAGCTGCTTGCAATATCATCCCTAAATCTGATTGGCCGTTTTGTTTACGCTGGTTTTAGTTCCATGACACTCAATCGTAATTTGTTCTGATCTTCGCTTGTTTAAATTGCACTTCGTCTCAAACTGTTATTAATGTAAGGCAAACGAAACCTTGAAATACCTGCTTGAGCAATGGGCGTACACTCGAACCTTTCGTTTCTCTTCTGTCTGACCACTCACGTCCAGCACCTTCTCTCCAAGAAGACGTTTGTGTAAAAGAGAGAGCCAGTAGTCCTAAAGACAAGAAAAGTTAAACCTTAATGCGAGTTCCCTTTGTTCATATCATACAATCACAAGCCAGAGGGAAGTGGAATAGTAGAGGAGAGAATAAGAGAAGGGAGTAGACGAGAAAAGATAAGGCAAAACGAGACCACAGGCGGCCCAAGCTCATGTCTCGAGAAAAAGCCAACCATTAACTCATGAGAGCGGCGGGAATTACCAGAAACCACAGCAGACACAAAAGATGAGAGTAAGTGCTATTGATTTTACGTGTAAAATGTTCATATTTCGAAATGTTTACCGTTGTAAATCGACCATATTTCGTTCCCTATACTTTTTCTTATAACGTGTTCAAATTCTCAACGTAACTTAACACAGAGTCACACAACGCGTGACACTTTCATGATCAATCGTTTGCTTTTTCTCGAGACGTGAGCTCGGGCCGTCTGTGACGAGACCAGAAACGAGACGACAGTGACTTCCCAGGCACAGAACCGCCTGTTTATAAAAAAGATAAGCACTGAATAAATCAGTAAAGCGGGCAGATGAGCGAAGTCAGTAAGTGGATTTAATCAGAACTTTTTCAATGTATCGATGCTACCTCTATTTTTTGGTTAAATTTGCTCCATTAAATCATCGACACGTATGCTGCACTAAATTTTATCACTCGGTGAACTCAATTCACGTTGAGCTTATTGTCGTTCGTAAACGCGGATGAAAATGTGGCAAAACGATGTTATGTTTATTTTTTCTTCAAAAGCCTCTGTTGCTATGGAATAAACCTATTAAGGCTAAACTCCAGCCTTCGTAGAAATTTTCTGTCGGCAAGCAAGCAAGGAAAGCTGCTGCGGAAAATAAACAAACAGGTACTTTTGAGCCTTGCCATATCGTACTCATACTAGGAACATACCGGATTTGGATCCAGATCGTCATCTAATAAAGAGTAGCTTCCTTTAACAAACGTCTGTCGCACAACCACCTCATGTTTAAACCGAGCTGCCAGACCTAGCTTGTCTAGCCACCTTGAAAACAAAGACAAAGAAATCATGTTCCATCAAACGACAACACAGGAAAATAAACCACATAAGAAAAAATAACCTTTCTCGACCAGGGAATTGCCCAAACATGATTTTGGTATGAATATTTTAGGGGGAAGGTCATCAAAAAAAATTAATCGTTCAAGATACATGTAGGATGGTCTATACGGCTTGCTAAATTGAAAAGTTTGTTTGAATTGAAATCTTACCCCTCTACCTTATCTCAGAGATAAACAGTGCGTAATAAATAACAGTTACTAACCTCGTCAACTCTGTCCATACTGTGAGTTTCGGAACCTCATTTCTTCCGCTTGGATTTATAGCCCTCGCGCTTCGCGCTAGAGACATACATATCCGAGAGGAAAAAACTCAGTCCGTAACTTACAACACGGACCTCGAACTCGGTAAGTAAGAGACATATGGAGTAAAGGGACAGGTGACCTGCACGATAGCCACAAGTGATCTCGAAAATAAATATATATTTAGTATAATTGCAGCGATTATTATAGAGATGCGCGCACTCCGATTGGTCGAGGATTCCGCCATATCTCGCTATAATCACCTCCCGCGAGGAAAAAAGCCTTGCCTTGTATTTTGTTAATGTTAAGCTGGAAGTGATTAACGCGATGAAACAACTATAGTTCTAAGGAACAAAAATAATGCTACTAAAGTTGGCATAATACTTTTCAATAAAAGAAAAAAGGAGGTTTTGCTGATTAAATTAACTAAACCTGGTAAATTGTAGTGGAAACTGGCTGCTTATCTCGATTTGAGTGATCAAAACAACAGTGACAGAGTGGTATCAACAAACAAATGAATTTATAACAGAATTCAAGGGCACCTGAGCAATTATACTAAGACAATTATTCACCTCAGGCTAAGTGAATATTATACACTTAATGTATGATCCCAAGGGAAACAGTTAGTTTTGTTTTCCTGAGAGTTTAGAGGTTTCCTCAGGACTCAAGGGAAAACAAAACCGACTAGTTTCCCGAGGGACCATACATTAAGTGCTTTGTTATATATTTAGACTTTCCCTTAAACAATCATATGCTGCTGTATTCAGCGCGCAGGTAACAACTGCGCATTTGTATCACGGTCAGGATACATTTGACTTTGATCAGGGGCACATGATCAACAATCAACCAATCACAGTGCTTGTTTTGTTGAGTGAAAGTCTATGTATATAACAATGTGGAATAATCCCCTTGACTTTGTCTTGAGGATTATTCAACAATATTCACCTCACCTCCAGCAAATAATTGCTAAATAATAATCTCCCTGGCATTCCATGCTTCCTGAACATAAATCAGTGGAAGTTCCATTGTTTAAGGGAAGGGAAATTATCCAGTAATCCATTTAACCCCTCAGAGTGATGAGCATCTTATATATCCCATAAGAATAACTCCTAAATCAAATAGTGAAGTCATAGGAATAAAGTAAATGATTGCAAACCCAAAGAAATAACCAACTTTATAACAATTTTTACAGCCAATCAAAATGAACAACTTACATAAATCCAGCCACATATCTGTCTGACAATCCACTTGCTCCTCCTCCATATGCACTGCTAGTTTCACCAAGCCACCGAGAAAATCCTGATTTTATTCCATCCAGTATCGAATTGGCTTCACTCACTTCATGCAAAAAGTAATCCAGGACCTCTGGATTGTAAAAGTCTTTCTCAGAGCATGTTCTTCCATTGACATAATACCTGTAACAGAAACACAGAGAGTTTATTTCAGCATTAGTGTTGGCAAAGCCCACGAAACAAGTTAACATACATACTATGCACTGAGAAATAGAAATTGATAATAATAAGTATTAAAATCATAACAGATTGCTGTGTGACTGCTAAGCACAGGGGCTAGATGAGGATCCTTGTTGCAATTTTGTTTGTGTTTTGGTTTGTAGAAAGAGAAGATTGTGAAAAATGTTCCACTTTCAAATCTTCTCCTGGAAACTGATTCCCCAGCCTTAGCAGCTGAAAAACAGGTATGAAGATCAAAGTCTGAATCCAGGAGTAAAGAAAATATAGCTGTATTGAAGCCCTTCTGCTCATTTCTGTGGCTCTACTGCCTTCTCTCTCATAAAATATACACAAAACCATTTGTCTTTTTTGACAAAGATTACTGAAATTTGCTAGTACAATGTTTACAGTACAATACTCAGTCTACTAACAACACTTCTGTTCATATGGTACTTATGTGTCCATCAATTCACATTTTAGTCTACCGAATTGCTTTAAAGGAAAATCAGTGCTTTTGGTATCCATTGTGTCCAGCCAGCCTCAGAACTAAACACCAGCCCCAAGCCTGGTCAATCCCCCTAACACTATCAGATCACTGAAAAGAAAAACCAGGGTGGGGTGGGGACAGAGACCCCTCAACATTAACTTTCCCATATTTTTCACTCTGTTTACCCTAACTCAGCACTACACACTCATTGCCTACCTACCATCAACCCTTTGAGCACTAAGTTTGACTCCTAAGAGCATCTAACTTCTCCTTACAATATCACAACTGAATCACTCATGAAGGTTGAGAGAGTAAAGAAGCTTTCAATTTTTTGTTTGTTATTGCTTTATTTTGTTTCATTGGGCAGAAGAGAAAGGGAATCTCATCGGTGACAAAATATAATACTGTCATACAACCCTAAATAGAATAAATGGAAATTACTTACTGATGCCAGGTAACTGCATCTATGACATCCTTGGCATGGGTAAAAAAGCTAAAATTTTGAGAGATGCATTGTTACACTTTGAACAAAAGCCTCCATTTACATCAAAATGCAATAAATCACTGACAATAAAAATAAATTTATTTACAGTGCTGAATTTTATTTAAGCAAACATAAGCTTTTTCAAAGTGCAAGTTGTTCTCATAACAGCAGTGGAGTTATATTTTTGCAATGCATACAGCTGAGTGCAACTGTACCTCCTCAAAAAGCTTCCTGTTTTTTCAGATGTTACTGTTCCCATGTCAGGTCCAACTAAGTAGTTACCAAACTGAGGACTGCCCTCAAGTATTGCTCTTAAAGTGTGAAAGTCTTCAGCAAGTTCCTCTGAGGAAATGGACCTACCAAACCTCCAAAAAAGGTCAGGCTCTAGTAATAAAAATAAACTCTATTATGTTTATACTGTTTAATATTGACTGCAGTGATTACCTCTCCAAATAGATGCCACTTTTTGAGTGATTTAATATGCGTGTTACATCAGGGCCAACAAGAAAGTTGCCAAACCCAGGATTGCTTTTAAGTATTTCTCTGAGTGTGGTAAAGTCTGCTGTCAATTCTTTGGGTGAAATAGACTTGTTAAATTTCTTAAACAAGTTTGGCTCTGAGGAAGAAAAGCATGCATATAAAAAAGCCACTTTGAAGGTTTGATTATAGTCAAAGACATCCACATGCTTAAGGTATATGACTTGTACTAATGAGTATTTTGTGGCATTTAGATCAGATTAGATTAAATTTTAATAATTACATTGATTCAGCCAACTAAATCTCATTTGCTACAACTGACACTAACAAAAATAATGAATATCTATTAATCATAAATATTCCATACCATTCCCAAGCTCCCATCCAAAGTGATATCCATGATCTGCAACATATTGCATGATTTCTTTTGCATTGCTTGCATTCCAAGATCCATCTTTTCCCCTTAAAAACACATTCAAGCCAAACATGACGTCCCAGTCAGCTTTTGATGACAAAAGGTGTATCTTGTCCAAATCTGCATGCGAGATTGTAAAGTTGCTAACATTTAGGAACGTCTGGAAGTCTTTTGAGTCATCATAGATTAAGAAATCTTCTGAAGTTCCTCCAACCCGGAGAAATGCCGGAGAGAGACCTTTAGCAAGCGTATACAGCTTCTCCGAGGTAAAGTTTACGTACGGTGACCAGTGATGCCTCATGATATTAGAGTCAATGGCAACGGAGAGAAACTTTTCGTTCACAGTGAACACAGCGCGATCCAAATTTATCGAGACATTGTGCTCTACCGCTTCCCTACCAAAAACAGTGAACTGAGATTTGGCTGAAAGCAAATACACACTCAGTATTAACACAACCACAACTAAACTTGATCTCGCCGAGAAGACAGGTGAAGCCATGCCTACGAATTCAAGCGAACGTTTGACAATGTCTGCGAGGTCTTCTTGATCTTTTGGATTATGTTGTCTCTCTGTTTAGTTCAATTTTCGAGGAACGCCTCCAGGTTGACACAAATCGAAATATAAGCTTTTCCGTGACAAACCTCGTGACTCCATACTCCATATTTCTCTGGCACAGCGCGACACCTTATTTTCGCCAGGCGTTCAACTTGAAATGGAGGCTCTCCCCGTCCCTCCGTCTTGACGGAATCACCAAATATTTACTCCGGACTCTGGACTCTAGAATACGGAATTCGGAGCAATGCATACAGATTTTTCCTAAAAACTACGATTTTCGAACTCAGCAATACAAACTAAGAATCAGGAACTTTGAAATTCGTTATTTGAATCCCACCCTCTTTGCTAGTGAAAATAATTTTACCGTGACCACTTTCCAAGATCATGAAAGACAGTGACTTCCTTTCTAACAACTCGTACAAATAATCACTCTAAGTTTAATTTGCGGTATTCGTTTTTTGAGAGGCAAAATATTTGACGCTTCCCTGTCGAATTAGCTTTTCCCTTCCCCTCCCCAATAAAACCGTTTCACCCTTACACGATCTATCAACTTCGTTATATCTCATTGCATGCACTAAGGGCCCCTAGTTGAGTTTAATTTGATACTTTGCTAAAAGAGGGTGGTAATTAACTGGAACCAGTAATCCATTACTGTAATGGGCTCCTGGTGGAACTGATATCTAATTCTCGTGGATTGATATGTCTGGGAGTTTCAAAACTCTGGTCTAATGGAAGTGATGAAAAATGCTTTCTTTTTCTTGTCAAAATGATCAATACTTACGATTCCTATAAATGTAACCTTTAGATTACAGTGTGTCTTTGTATTTTATAGGGAAGGTACAGACCCTCGAATGCCAAATGTAGAAATTATCATTTATGATGGATTTGGCGGAAAGAACCGAGATGGCTCTTGCAAATGAAGCCACAAACGACACCAACTGGCGCGAATCAGATTATGCAAAAGACGGAAGCAGTACGTTTAAGATAATTCCAGTTTTCGACTTCTCAGCTAGATTAAAAAACAAACCAAAACAAAACAAAAATACCAGCGACTCACATTAAAAGATCAATGAGCAGCCCGACAAAAATCTGTATGGTCTGCAGATAATATCTGTTTCCCACACTGAACTAGATTATTTCTCTCAAATATCTTTCATCAGGTAGATAACGATGTTATTATAGGGCTTTGGGTTATGATGAAAGAATGGTAAATGATTGAAAAGCTCGATAACGCAGTCAACAAGCAGTTGGCCTAATTGCACACTGGAGAATTATGAAGAGGGCGATCAAATATATCATGGGGCAGAATGCCAGTAATTGTCTGTTAGGGACCCGTTTTTCTTTCTCGGATGGGGGGGGGGTGGTGGGGAGGGGACTACAGAAAATTGACTGCCTATGAGTGGGGTGAGTGGGGATCATTAGAATAATACAGAGCCATATGGGAGTATCAGGTTTATTTACTCTGTCACAACCAAATCATCCGGCCCCCCAACCCCCCTCCCTTCCCCTCCGGCGATAAATAATGAGTGGTGGCTTCCTGAGCTGGCTGCCCATAGTAAAGTGTATTAACAGAGATATCAGGGGAGGTAAAAGGACGAAATGTTACTGAATACATTTCTTGTCGTTTATATAATCACTTGGAGAGCCACCCATGAACTAAAAAGCTTTTATAGTTTAAGCCAGACATTTTAAAGGACACTAGTGATCTAACGCGCCCACTCGTTTTAGGCATTTTAGCGACAGTACTTCTACATGTTTGTTTGCCCGAATTTATTTGATAAAACAGCCCAAAGACAAGTGATATCAAAGAAAAAATCGCATTTACAAGATCTATCTCGGAAGAGTCGGTACGTGCCTGAAATATCTGGAGATAATGATAACAACGTTGACTGAGGATATATTTGACATTTCACCAACGAAAAAATATTGACCCGGATTAAGAGAGCTTTATAGTCTAGTGTTAAGTTGCATGAAAACGGATAAGGTTATGGAGCGGATGTAGTTCTAACTATTACAATATTTCTCCTTTTTGTACCAGCTCTTTGACGTCAAGGGCAAACCGTTGGCGTTGTAAACTTACAAACTTGCTTCTTACTATAAAGAAGAGTCCTTACACACGTTAAAATTTAATCCCCGTCATTTGACGTTTGTGTGACTCCGATAAACGCCGTAGAGTTCTCGGAAAAGCGGAACTCCAAGACGCGAAAAGGAAAAGCAAATCATTAAACGGTGAGTTTTATGAACATTTCGTAATTCTTTAATTCAGTTTGATTTTGTATAACGGAAGTCGTTCTCATTCTGTTGCAACCAGATTCTGTACGAGCGAACAGAAATGAACTTGATGATCTCGGTAATCGCTTGGTCAAGTTCTGCACGTGTTTTGGATCAAATTCTACCAAGTTTCCGATAATTTTTGTTATATGTCCATACCGTACTCTTAATTTAATAGAAGAGTCATGAAGAATTCCAAATTTGCCCAGAAATTCTCGCTTGGCTAATAATTTTAAAATACACATTGAGGGAACCCAACAAAATGTTTCAAAGTGACATTGTATATTCATTTTCAAGAGGCAAGTACACATAGCCATATTTTTCATCCTCAAAAATTTCCTCTTTACAAAAGTGTTATTAAAAATATGGTTAACTTCGTCAAAGACCGAAGCCTTTGACAACTGTGTTTATGAGACAAAAAGTGCTCTCTTTGGCTCGCTTTCGTTGGAGGAGTTTCATTTGAAAACAAAAAAAGAGATTTGGGAAAATTCCAAGTTATGTGTTTCGTTCATTTTTTTTTTCATCACTCACCATCACATCCCTCAGTCTAAAAGCCTCTCACGTCAAGTCACAAAGTGCGCCGATGAAGCCGTAATTACTTTAATGGCCTGTAGCCGCAACCTTATCATAGAAGGATTTGATTCAAGTCGCTTAAGATTGCTGTAAGCTGAGATAGCAATAGCGTACACGAACAAACATAATTTCTGGACGGCATTGCTTTCCTGTCCCATTCTCGTTGTTTACATTATAACATCCAATCAAAGCGCGTTTTATACAACCAAACTCTCGTGGCTGTTCATAATGCACTTATCTCCTTCCTAATTTTTAAACCATCCTTCTAATAAGTGCAGTCCTTTTAATTTCCAAGAATAAATCTTCTTTAGAAACCTTTTCATCCGCCCCACGCCATTCCCTTTGCCCACATCATAGCTGTTACAACAATATCATTGATAATCATTAATTCAGACTGTATATTGTAGGATGTACGGGATAATTATTAAAAGAGGTCTGATACGATATTCTGACCTACAGAGCATAAAATTAACTTTAACTTTAACCAAAATAAAATAACGCCAAATAGGCTCCTGTCAACGACCACCAAAGGATCAAAGGTTGAAAAGATCTAGACAGATTGCAAATGATAATATCACAACATTTTGATTGAAATTTTCAAGATACAAATGGCCGAGACATCGTGACGACACGTGATGTCTGCTCCTAGGAGAAGCCAACGGAAGAAGAGTAGAAATTAAGCAAAAGCAGATTGATATATATGGGTCGCAATCACCACAATTCGACGTAAATTTGAAACTCCTGAAATCTTTGAAAATCTGTGAATTTTTCGTGCCCTAATTCTCTTAATTGTTCCTCACCGTGTCACGATGTGTGATGATCCCCACTGAGATTGGACCTCCATGTGACACTGCTCATAAATTCAAAAGCCCCCGCTCGTTTGTTATCTTCTCCTTCAACTTCCTTTCTTTAAACTTCTTCAATTGCATTACTTAGTTGAAACAGTTGATGTTCTAAACCTTGGATTAAGAGATTGTGGTCACGATTAAAATCACTCATCTTTTCTAATGTAAACTATAAGCAAGGCTTTTTGTCGAAAATTTTGAGGAAATAGATAGCGTCCTCCTCGTTAACGAAGTGTAACTTAAACATACGCGCTGACGGCAAAAAAATTTTTTTTCGTCTAGTAAAGATTAAAATCTGTTTTTATGAACAGAGCGCAATAAAAGGTCAATTTATATCTTGACGTCATAACCTAGGTAAACTCCGTTTCAGGAAAGTAAATCAAATAACCAATCAAAATAAGCGCATTTATGTAAGTCTCACCACAGTGTCATGTTGTTACTTTCATCAAGTGGCTGACGGGCATACAATCCGCAAAGCCTATCATCACCTTAAATTCTTCCAACACGGCCAAGAGAGTTTTTCGTTAAGATAATCTCGCTGTTATTATATTGACGCACGTTAATGTACTTGATCTTAAAAGCGTATTTTGCCCTCGTTTACATTTTTAAATCTTGTGACGCATCGCGTGTCAGGATGTGTTGTACTTTTATTAATTGTGTCAAGTTTGCGGACCGAACTGACACTTATGGACGGTACTCGACCAAAGCTTTATTGCTCTTTAGTTTAGCAAATGTCAGCCTTGTCACTGCCCAATGGCGCGGCTTGAGAAGGACTTTACTTTTCTTAAAAAAAAATTATTACTAAAAGCAAATTTAATGGTCTTAGTTAATAGCATAACCACTAATGAGTGGTTTGTGACATTCATTTCAGGATGCCGTGAAGACCCGGAGAGTTACAGATACAGGTCAGCAGTTTAAAGTTTCTCTTCATTTTGTTCATTGCGTTCTTCGATGAAAATAATCACCAGGTCTTTTTTGGGGTGTGAAAACATCAGGGATGAAAAATAACTATGAAATCATTCGGTTCGGTAGGCACTGAATACAAAATACCCACACGCCATATCGTGAAATTGTCTCACTGTCACAGAATTCCAAGTTATTTTTTTTTCACATTTGTTATTTTAATCCATTGAAGGAAAAAATTCATTTTATTCTGTATGAGCTTTTGGCAAGCACGTTTGATCGCGATTTACTCAGTTCTCGTAGCAAAGACGAAGTTTAGCGAGTTACATTTCTCAACTAATGAATTCTGTACGTAAGCCAAATGTTATACTTTTTTGTTTTCCGCCCAATACAAGACACATATCAATACTGAAGAGCGGATGGATTCGATCAAAACCTTTACATTTGAACTGCACTATCCATGTGCACTACTTTCTTTAAAACGAACACCGTTTTCTACGGAAATTTTTTAATAACGACTCATTTTGTTACTTTTACATTTTATAAC